CCAGGACATTGTGACATCTTGGGTAATGAAAGAGCAGAAGAACTAGCTAGACGAGTATCTCAATCCACCGATCTAGAAACTGATGACTCAATCAAACCTCCCATATGTCTTTTCTATAGGAATTTTGAGGAATTCTTTGACGAAATAGCCTGTGAACTTTGGCACAACGAACCTAGGTGCAACGTGTCAAGATCCATTTGGCCGACCATTTGGCTGTCTACCAAAAGAACGCACTCACTATTGAACCTGAGCAAAGCTGAAATTAGAGTGATGACGGGAATCATCACTGGTCACTGCAACATCAGGGCTTTTACTAGTAAATGGGATCTTGATGCAATTGATTACTGTAGACTCTGTGTTGACGAGGAGGAGACGGAGACAATTGAGCATCTCCTGTGTCATTGCCCAGCCCTGGCTTACAAGCTTCTTCTCAACAACTGAACCTGCTCTAATCTACAGCATAATTTGAAACATGAAGTCGTTAGGAGCATACAACCTTGGCACGTAACACTTTTTCTGTCTGACTCATAGGGCCATCGACCTTCATTCTTCACTCCTTTAATTTACTAATCTTCTCTCCCCTACAGATCTGTCTTTGGTCTCTTCTCTTCACTGTATCTCTTCTTGTGGATGATCACAACGGGGACCTAACCGGTCTCAGAGTGTTGCAGTCACACATGTGACTGCACATCCCCAAACCTAACCTAATCAAGTCATCAGCTGCGCTAAATGGACTACCAATTTATTGTGCCATGGTCTCGACCATCTGTCAAATTTTTCCTTATAATATTTCACATGGATGGCAACATTACAAATCGAATTCAAGTTGAAATTACGCACTTTGACAGTTAATCAAGACATCAGCTGCTCTAAATGGGCTACCTATTCATTGTGTCATGCTCGAGACCTTGTGCTAATTTTGACCTTATTTCCTTGAACCACATACAAAATGGTGATGATCAACTTTTTTTCTAGTCATTCATGAAGGGATTTTCATTGCCGAATAATTGATTCCGTCAGCTAAATTAGGAATATATGTATTTTCAAACGTGGAACAAGAATCTATACAAAAAAAAGTTGGAACGGCAATTTATACAAAAATTCGTGTTAATCACTTCGAATTCTCAAAGAAGGCGAACTCATAGAGCGTATTTAAAAAGTTTATTCTTTGTTCTAAGTCACGAAACACTGTTCTAATATAACTGGAACTTTTTCTAAATATTTGGTTATAACATTATCTCACCCTGGAAAACCTATATATTATCTATTTGACAAACGTAGCAAATAATTGATAATTCATTCTTGTCTTTGCATAAGATATTGACCCATTTATTATTATGTTGTTGTTAGTGTTAAAATGAGACAAAATAAAAAGAAAGAAATATAATTTGGACAATAAACCGTCACGAACTTGCTGCTAATACACCACAATAAATTGTGACTATAGATATGGGCTTTTCTGTCAATCTTCTGTTAGCAAAAGTTGATAGTATTATTTGAACGAAGTCCCTGAACTTAGTCTATTTACTTCGGCTGTCGTAAAACAAACTCAATGCAACTTTGATCCTTAAAATTGTCAATCTCTTTTGTAAGAACATGTAATTTCATTTTTGCATTGATAAGTGAGGTGTTGTAATCGAATAAGATGAAATACTTACATAAAGTCAGTTTATTTTATAAAAAAAAATATCAACTGAATTTAATCAGAGAAAATCGTTAAAACGAAATTCAATTTTAAAAAATATATTGTTCGATTGGAGCGCATTTTCTGAAATTCTATCTGGCGCCCAATACGCATCTTTTGTTCCATTTAAGGGAACCTCCCCCCCTTCTTGAATACCAATGCTTGTTGAGATTTGTAACTTTGCACATATATATTTGATGATTTAAAAAGGAAGAAAAATAATTTACAAAAAATTTTTGTTGTTGTTTTTTGTGATCAAAGAAAAGTCCTTATTTTTGATGGCGGGCATGATAACTCCTCACAACATCGGAATCCTAAAATTCCAACGGTGTTAGAAAGAGCACATGTCTGGCTCTCGTATGAACTAGGATTATTGACTTCGCTCTAAAATTAACAAAAGGCGGACCTTTGAAAAAATATTTTTGGAAAATTGCCGATTTTTGACCAAATACCAAGTTAAAAAAATAAGGAAGATCTTCACCGATTGGCTTTATCCTTGTTCATACGACAGCTATACACTCACAGAGAAACGTGTAAAAATTTGGAATCGATTGGGTTATTAGTTTTTGAGTTATCGTGCCCGCACTTCGCAAAAGAGAAAACGCATTTAAAGTTTGAGAAGCCATTCAGCCGTCACTTGATGCTGACACAATAAATCGCCTATATCTTCAAGAGTTCTTGAGATTTTCACTTGAAATTTTGTAGGGACATTCTTGAATTAGTGTAGAATTTCAAAAGAATTTTTGACCCCGAGAATGGGGGGGGGGGATCCTCTTAAGTGTCGAACGTCTACTTTAAGAAACTTAGTAGGTTTGGATTGATTTTATTAAATTATAGCTGGAGAAAGCATAGCTGTGAAGTGCAATTTGAGCCACTATACTGCACTATGGTTACAACTGGCATGATATAGTCTTATACTTCATAGGCAATAAATACTAAATCGACTTCGCCGTATAGCCACATATTTGCGTCGCTTAATTAGACTAAATTATCAAGAGAAAAATAAGTTCGGACCAATCTGGTAATTACCCAAAATTAGGCAGAGACATTGGAAATACTAAAACGTTACGTTTCCTTCCCTGTATGCCTTCAGCGGATGTGATTGCATCTCATGTGATGAGTTGTCCTGTAAGATGACCTATCGCTGTGTTAACTTCCCTCTTGCCAAGCAATAAAATTCAGCGAATTCCGTGAGTCTACTTCTAGATTCATTGCCGATGATCCCTGCGTAACCCGGTAGTCTACAGTTTGAACTAAATCACTATAGACATTCCGTTATGGCTCGAACCTTTGCCGGAAGTTTCGTTTCTTGTGGTATGGTAGTGAAATATCAGTCTTCTATGACTAGTTGCGTTTTTCATGCTAGCCGAGACTTTAAATTAAAAGATGCAGATTCAAAATAATTCCGAATGCTTAAAACACTATACTATTTAGCAAATCGTATAATTTTTTTATATCCAATATTTATTTGATTCTATTCGAAAATAAAATATTCTTGACAATAAAAACACAATAAAATTTATTAAATTGATTTATTTTAGCGCTGACATTTATAATAATGAAATTCAGATTTTACGCTTCTTAATTGTATCAATTAAGTTCCAATCGCAACGATTCATTTAATTGGAATCTGTATGGAAAATATGGAGAATGTATTGAATGAGAGCTGCCATATTAAATAAGATGTGAAAACGAAAATAATGTTTCCATATGGAAGAATGTTTCATTGTAAACAACTTACAGAGTGCCTAACAAAAGAGATAGGGAGAGGAAGGGAGGGTGAGAGAGAGAATAACATAATTTACAAATGATTGTTAAACTCTTGCAAGTTGCAACCCCTTTGTGTTAAAGCAAAAAGTGATGGTTGCTCTCTACCATTGTGGGCTCTCACTTTACACAAACAAATTCCCCCTCTTCTCCCCTTCGCATACGACAAAGTATATTTGTTGCTGTCAAAAATGAAAATTTCATACAGATTGGCAACGCCATGCATTCATTTTGATTCAATTGGATTCTGTTTATTTTTGCTGAGAGTTTGTACGGGCGAGAGAGAGAGAGAGTGTGTGTGTGTGTGTCTGTTTCCTATTGGGGAGCATTCATTCTCATGTCATGAAGTTGTTTTTTTTTTTTTTGTTTTTGCCAACTGTGTCTGACTGTTACACTCACTGGAGAATAACATACATACATTCATTAACTCTACTCGGCGCTGCAAAGTACACGGTCAACGAGACAACGGAACGAATCAAACGAAAGAAAAAAAAACGGTACGCGGTACGGATGAGAGATATATAATTTTCCTGTGCGTGTGTGACGTACTACCAACCAAAAACTAATTGGAAAAAAGGAGGAAAATTTTCCTATTAGAAAAAAAACAAGAAACGGAAACGTTCGGTTTTAATAATTCGAAGCATAAAAATAAATAAGAAATTAGTAGAAGAAAAAAAGAATAGAAAATAAAATTGATTTTATTAACATCTTCATCTAACTGGTTTACTAAGTGCAAAGGAGAAAAAAAAAACACAGCAACACAACAACATGAAAATAAAGATATACAAAAAATAAGAAAAAAATTTGCAATATAAAAAATTGGCAAAATAACAGCAGCAACAAAAACAAAGCAATTAAAAAATCTATTGAATATTACAAAAAAATAATAAATCTAAAGAATGTTGTAAAAATTATATTAACGGCTATGAATGTAAATTAAAATCGATACAAAGACGAACGAACGTAGGACGACAACGACGTCGACGAAAAATTAAAAAGCAAAACCATTCAAACCAGAAAAAATGTAAAAAAGTGTTAAAAAATATAAGAATAAAAAAAACAACAACACCATACACAAAACGGAAAATTCTCCAGCAACACAAACATACACACACACACGCAAACACACAGCATTTGCTGCTGTCGACAACGTCATAGGCAGGCATTTGACGGGCTTTTTCTACTGAGGTAAGCTGGCGTAGCAGCAACAGCAGCCAGGCCTCTGGAATTTATAATAAGCTCCAAGGGATTTTTCCTACAAACTCTTGCTCTGCTACATACATAATAATATTGCTGCCACGGCTGAGGGCAAGGCGTGAGACAATATCGTAATAATTGGAAAAGCCAACGAGCTTCAAGGAGAGCAGCAGCAACAGCAGGAGGAGGGGTAAACAAGTGTGAACTTCGAACAGTTTTTGGCTGGCTGAGGCAGACATTAATAAGAATCGGAGGTGGAAGCGGAAGGAAATAAGGGCAGTAGTTAAATAAAGCAACACAACACAACTCGACACTCACACACTCCAGACACCCTCTCTCACCCACCCACACACACACAAACGTACCCTCAAAATGCCGCTGTTTGGTAAAAAGGATTCGGCCAAAAAAACCAAATCCAAAGAATTCATCAAAGAACTCAACAAAACCATACCCATTGAGGATAAATACAATCTACATGGCCTATTGGGCACTGGCGCCTTTTCCGAGGTACGCCTGGCCGAAAGCAAAGAAAATCCCGGCCAACATTTCGCCGTGAAAATTATCGACAAAAAAGCACTCAAAGGCAAAGAAGAATCACTGGAGAATGAGATACGAGTCTTGCGACGATTCAGTGCCAATCATCACAACAATGATACGGCAGCAGATACTCGAAGCGGTGAACGTCTCACACATCCGAATATTGTCCAGCTCTATGAAACATACGAGGATAAATCAAAAATCTATTTGGTCATGGAATTGGTAACAGGTGGTGAACTATTCGATCGTATTGTGGAAAAGGGTTCGTATACTGAAAAGGATGCCTCCGATTTGATAAGACAAATTTTGGAGGCCGTTGACTATATGCATGAACAGGGTGTTGTGCATCGAGATTTGAAACCGGAAAATTTACTCTTCTACAGTCCGGATGACGATAGCAAAATTATGATCAGTGATTTTGGCCTGTCCAAAATGGAAGATTCCGGTATAATGGCCACAGCCTGTGGTACCCCAGGCTATGTGGCGCCCGAGGTTTTGGCCCAGAGGCCCTATGGCAAAGCTGTGGACATTTGGAGTATAGGTGTCATCTCCTATATCCTCCTTTGTGGTTATCCACCATTCTACGACGAAAACGATGCCAATCTCTTTGCCCAAATACTCAAGGGTGAATTTGAATTCGACTCACCCTATTGGGATGACATCAGTGATTCGGCCAAGGATTTCATACGCCATCTGATGTGTGTCTCTGTGGAGAAGCGATACACCTGCAAGCAGGCCTTGGCCCATCCCTGGATTTCGGGCAATGCCGCAGGCAATAAAAATATCCATGCCACGGTTTCAGAACAACTCAAAAAGAATTTCGCCAAATCGCGTTGGAAGCAGGCCTATTTGGCCGCCACTGTTATACGGCAAATGCAGCGAATGGCCCTCAGTTCGAATGAGAGCCGGTCGAATCTCCTGAAGGAGAGTAATAAAATGTCACAGGATAATTTGGGAGCCGCCGCCACCGCCGCCAGTGATGTGGAAATGTCCGCGTGTCACAATGCCAGTGGCAGTAGTTCGGCAAATTTGCTAAACAAACCGAATTCGTGTAATACCAATCGGACATCATCAACGCCATCGCCGTCATCATCATCAGCGCAAATGGATTTTCAACAAAGCCAAAGAATCTCATCGACGTCCTCAACAGCAGCAGCTGCAGCGTCCTGTCACAATGGCAGTAAACAATCAAACAAGTAAATTTTTGGCAGTTAAAAAAAACAACAACAACAACAGAACAAGTTATAACGGTTTAATAACAACAACACACCAACAACAACCAGCACATTTAATAAAAACAATTTAAGTAAGAATTAAATAAAAAAGGTGATGTCAACAAAAAATTATATATATGATTAAGATTATATACTATATTATATATATACAACAACAAAAAATTACTTAACTTACCTACAAGAACAACAATATATATACATACTTATATATATATATATTTATTATATAAAACTATTATTATTATTAAATTTTTAGGTAATGACAAAAAAAAAGAAATCAAATCGAATCAGTAACTGCACTTATATATATACTTATACTATACAAAAACAAACGTCTTTTGAAATAATCTAAAAAGAGAAGAAGAAGAAAACAAGAAAAGAATTAATGTTTTTTTTTAACTTTGAAAATAATATATAAAAAATAAATAAATCAAATATTTAAATTAGGCGCTTAAGTAAAAATAAATAGATAATATTGAAAATCAGGGTAAGGATATTACATGTTTCAATTTGAACAAATTTCAAACTGAATTTTAACGATTTTATTAACATATATTTTTTTATTTTATTAGCTAGAATAACATATTTCGTAGACGTTTCTTTTTTTAATTAGACTACTTTTTCTCTTAAGAAGGTTTCAGGGTTTGCACAGAATTTCATTTTTTTATTTCTCATTTCTATTCTCTATCCTCTTTCTCACGCTCCCCTTTCTAAAATTAGAATATATTGGTTTTCTATAAATATGATATCTTTTAGAGAACCTCCGCATATAGAAGGTAAACTACTATTCAATTATCGAAAGGGTTCTAAATTCTTTCCGCAGAATAATTATAAAGAGTCTTTTATCTGAAGGGTCTTCTACTAGGGCATTTCGGAAAGTTCTTAGCCTAGCACAAAAAGTGCGGTATAAACAGAAAAAAGTTAAGTGTTTTGGTAACTTCCATCTTGTTATTTGAACACATATATATTTGTTAAATTTTGTTGTTGTTGTTTTGTTGTTGTTTTTTCGATCTATTTTCGGCAAATCCTTCACAAAAAGTGAGGTATAAACAGAAAATAGTTAAGGGTTTTGGAAACTTCCATCTCTGTTATGAACACATGTTAAATTTTGTTTCGATCTGGCAACTCATTCATAAAGAAACAGGTTTTCAAAAAAGACGCATCCGTAATTTTTTACAATGAAAAAAAAATTATAAATGCGTGGTTTCATTGTAAAAAAATTGCGGATACGTCTTTTTTGAACACCTCTTTCTATATGAAGGAGTTGCCAGTTGGAAACAAAATTTATCATGTGTTCACCGCACTTTTTGTGCTAGGCTAAAACTTTCTGAACTGCCCTCATATGTAAAGTATTCTTTGAAATGTTCTTCTGCCTATATAAATCGTTTAACCCTTTGAGCCCCGAATTTTTTTTTCGCAATCTTAGAACAAATTTCTGTTCACAGATTTAATGCAACTATCCTAAAATGACATTTACATTAGAACTTTTTACCGCATTAACCTACTCTATGAGGATTTATTTGACATGTATACACTGGGATTGACAATTGAAACCCATTGGGTTAACGAAATCTGGTATAATGTAAACGTACTATAAATAGGTTATGCACAAAATTTGACATCGATATATCCTTGCATTCGGGAGATAGTACAGTACGGAAAAATTAAAATCAAGAAAACCAAATGCAAAATCGTCAGAAAAATCATTTCAATTAATATACGCTATATTTAATTTTACAAGCAAAAAATAATTCTGTTAGAAAAATCATTTTAAATTATTCTCTATATTTATTTTTACAAGAATCAAAAATAATTCTGAGGGTATATATAACTACTAGCTGCATATAAAATATAACCTCTAAAACATTTTGTTGTCTGTGGGCATAATTGGGCCACAAAGGGTTAAATGGTCTTTTATTTGAAGAAAACATCTTAAGGGTCTTCTGTACCATTTTCCCAATATTATTCAAAACATTTCAATTGCATTTCCAGAATTTCATTTGTAATTCGAAAACTATAAATTTGCAATTCATAACATTTCAGTTGTAATTCGAAAATGTAATTGGTAATTTACAACAGTTTATTTGTAATTTTAATCTTTTTTATATGAAATTCCAAAAAAAAAAATTAAAAAAATTAAAAAAATTTGAAATATGCAGAGTTTAAAATTCATAACATTTCACTTGTAATTCATAATATTTAAGTTGTAATTCATAACAATTCATTTCAAAGTTATATTATTTGGGTGTTACCAATATTATTTTTCGAATCTAAAATTAAATGTTTTGAATAACAAATGAAATGTTATGCAATTCAAATCAAATGTTATGATTTTCAAATGTAATCCTTTGAATTTCAAATGCAATTTTATGAATTTCAAATGCAATTCTTTTGAATTTCGAATAGAATTTTATGAAATTCAAATTTTTGAATTTCAAATGAAAGTATATAAATTTCAAATGGGATTCTATGAATTTCGAAAGGTATTCTATGAATTACAAATGAAATTCTCGAATTACAATTGATATGTTATGAATTGTAAGTGTAATTCTCCAATTACAAATTATATGTTTTGAATTAACAAAAAAGGTTACATTTGATATGCATTGAATAACATGTGAAAAAGGTGTATACCTTTTTTAAATATTATTCAAAAAATTTCAATTGTAATTCGAAAATGTAATTGGTAATTTACAACATTTCATTTGTAATTTTAAACTTTTAAAATGAAATTAAAAAAATCCATTTGAAATTTAGAGAATTTCATTTGTAATTCGTAGAGGTTACTTGTAATTCATAATAATAAATCCCAATATTTTTCGAATTTAAAATTAAATGTTATTAATAACAAATTAAATGTTATGCATTTTAAATCAAATTTTATGAAATTGAATTGGAATTTTTTGAATATCAAATGGAATCCTTTGAATTTTATATGAATTTCAAATGGAATTCTATGAATTTCGAAAGGTATTCTATGAATTACAAATGAAATTATCGAACTACATTTGATATGATTTGAATAACATTTGAAAAAGATGTAGATTGTTCATTTGAATCATTCTCTTTCAATCGTTAATTTTTTTTTTTTTCGTTTAAATGTTCCGAAAGTCCTGTGTTGATCATTTTCCTCCCGAAGCTTACACCATAAATTAGCAGAGAAATTTCCACCTACAAATGAGTATTTTTGAAATTTTATCGATTCTAATTAAATAATATAATGTTATCTAAAACCTTTCGGTCTGGGCAATCTCGTTCAGTACAGTGATCGAACGAACTAGGTCATTTTTTAAAATTGAACTAGGTCGTTCACCTTGTTCAGTTGCCTTATATCGTTCAAATGGCCACTCAGTTCAATTGGTATTGCATTTAAGCCGTCTCGGTCTGGGCAATTTCGTTCAGTACGGTTATCGAACGAACTAGGCCATTTTTTTAAAATTGAACTAGGTCGTTCAACTCGTTTAGTTGCCTAATATCGTTCAAATGGCCACTCAGTTCAATTGGTATTGCATTTAAGCTGCCAGTTCCATCAACCGCAAAGAATGCTGATCTTTCCCAATCATTCGAAGAATTTGACTATATTTTTTGCTGCAATCCGTTATATTCGGCTACACACTTGTTTGCACTACAGCTGTTGCTACGGACACCTGTGTCATTTCTTCATTTCTTCTATGGTTTCCAGGTCCTTTATACCGGCTGTCTTTAGTAGCCAATTAAAGCAAATGGGTATTATGCATTTAAATGTTGCTTCAAATTATTTACCGTTCTCCCGAACTATGCTTAAAAACTACTTCGATCGTTCCCACGCCACTCTTACCCGCCCCTGCCGACCGAGGGGGCCTCCTCCCCACAACGTAGGGAGAACGTACACCCCATAATCCGGATTATGGACGGTTAGTAATGTTGGGAAACCCCGGCTACAGTAAACATCAGCCGGTTATACAATTTAAAGTTAATTCAACAGAACAATAAGGACAAACATAAACATATGGCAACTGCTTACACTCTTCAGTATTGGTATTTGGTCTATTAAACACCGCAATGGCTTTTTTCCGAGTGTATTTTTTTCAATTTAGAAAATTTTACCTGAAGTTAATCGTGTTTAACGCCGTTCAGTCACGGTCGAAGCCAGAGCACCCCTAAATGACACTGAAGGTGTAGAATAAAATTCTGTGACGTCCAGTGACCAACATCGTTCAGTGACCGACGACGTTTGGTAAAGAAAATCGATCAATGAACGATAATAATAAACATTGAACTATGTCGTTCACTCGTTCAACGATTGAGCTGACTCGTTCAATCGAACTAGATCGTTCACGAAGAACACAAGGCTAGTTCATGGCCGAAACTATTGTGAAAAGACTTCAGCCAGGCAGCACGAAACTGGTCACTTCAGTGTTTTGGAAAAAGCTCACGCCTTTCATAATATCTTCAAGAAAAATTAAAAAATTTTATTAAAGGGATTGGGAACATCCCTCCTTCTCGGCTTCAAAAAAATTAATTTTTTATTTTGATTAAATTTGAATCTACACTAATTCAAGAATGTCCCTACACGAGGACACGATAACTCAAAAACTAATAATGCGATCGATTCAAAATTGTGGGACGTTTCTCTGTGGGCCTTCATTATTATTAACCTTGGTTTGAGGTAAAAGATTTTTTCAAAGTTCCGCCATTTTTTTTTTTTGATTTTTTAGCGAAGTCAATAATCCTATTCCATACGAGAGCCAGACTTGTACCCTTTCCAACGGTGTTAGAATTTTCGGATTCCGATGTTCCAGTGAGGAAAACAACAACAAAAAGGGGGTTTTTGCTTAGTTGGAATCTATGTAGAATGTCAGAATGTTAGTTGGAATCTATGCAGAATGTCAGGAAATGCATTTAGGTGCGAAGATTTTTTTTGCAAAAAAATACTTTCGGAATAATTACAAAAAAATTGTAGCATTGCAATGTCCACGAAGTTCA